AGAGAGAGAGAACACAAGCAGTGGGGAGAGGGAGAAGCAGGCTCTCTGCTGAGCAGGAGCTCAATCCCAGAACCCTGGGATTAGGACCCTGAGCCAAAGGCAGACTCTTAACCCACTGAGCCACCCAGATGCCCCAACCTCCTTTTCCTTCTTTGTAAGTCCTCTGCTCCCAGTGATCAATGCATTTACTTATTTGCTTAAATCTCCTGGAATATAACCAAATTCTGGGAAGCAAGTCTTCAAGAGGGAAGAGGGGGAAGAAAAAAGGAGCTAACTACCCTTTGAAGATGATTTGATCATGTTGGGATCTTGTGCCCATCTGTTGGAGTTGCCAGGAGTTTTCCAAAAAGTAAGTAAGTAAGATGTGCCCATCTATTGTGGTTCTCAACTTCGAGTTTAATTTCCACTGCGGATCTGAATCATCTAGGAAACATTTCCAAAAGCCCATGCCTAACCTATACCCTATATCAATTATATCCCAATCTCTAGCCATGAAACCCAGTCATCAATATTTTTAAGCTCCCTGAGTGATTCCAACGTGAGTTAGGAACTAACAAACCAGATTTCTACCTTTCGAAGCAGGTTATAATGGTTAGACCATTAGTTCAAATTGTATTAAAGGCAGTATATTGATAAGAAGAAGCTGGTGTGGGACACCTGGGTGGCTCAGTCGGTTAAGCATCTGCCTTCGGAGGTCATGATCCCAAGGTCCTGGGATCAAGCCCCGAATTGGGCTCTCCACTCAATGGGGAGCCTGCTACTCCCTCTCCCTCTGCCTGCCTCTCTGCCTACCTGTGATCTCTCTGTCAAATAAATAAAATCTTTAAAAAAAAAAAAAGAAACTGGTGTGAAAATGGATCATGTTGTGGGGCACCTGGGTGGTTCAGTTTGTTAAGTGTCTGATTCTTGGTTTGGGCTCAGATCATGATATTGCAGTTGTGGGATCGAGCCCCACATTGGGCTCTGTGCTCCGTACAGAGTCTGTTTTAGATTTTCTCTCCCTCTTCCTCTCCCTCCTGCTCACACTCTTTCTCTCTCTCTCTCTCAAATAATCTTTTTTTGTTGTTGTTTTTTAAGGAAAACATTGCAAGAGGTTCCTATCTCCATTTTGAACTTTAAGGCTCGAAGTATTTTCTGTTTGGGTATTTAGCAAGCGTTTTATCCTTGGAAATATTGTATCCAGTAAAGATCTAATGAAGAGTGTGAAGCCCTGGCTTAAAATTTGTGCTGTAATTGGGGTGCCTGGGTGGCTCAGTGGGTTAGGCCTCTGCCTTTGGCTCAGATCATGATCTCAGGGTCCTGGGATCGAGCCCTGCATTGGGCTCTCTGCTTAGTGGGGAGCCTGCTTCCCCCTCTCTCTCTGCCCGCCTCTGTGCCTACTTGTGATATCTCTCTGTGACAAGTGAATAAATAAAGTCTTTTTTAAAAATTGGTGCTATAATTGATTTGCCCTTGATCAATATTTCTCGAACTTTCATGTTCTTCCAAATCATTTTCATAGCTTATTAAACTGTAGACTGATCTAGCAGGATTGGAGGAGAGGGGTGGGTTTTTTTCTTTTTTTCTTAAGATTTTATTTGTCCATTTGAGAGAGAGAGAGAGAGAAAGAGCATGAGACCGGGGAGGGTCAGAGGGAGAAGCAGACTCCCTGCTGAGCAGGGAGCCTGATGCAGGACTCAAGCCTGGGACTCCAGGATCATTACTCAAGCCCGGGACTCCAGGATCATTACTCAAGCCCAGGGCAGTCACCTAACCATCTGAGCCACCCAGGCACCCTGAGGGGTGGGGTTTGAGAGGCTAATTTATAATGTGATGCTGAAGTTGCTGCTCTGGGGCTATGCTTTGGTGACAAAACCCAAGTCTTTGCCCTGATAACTTAGTGAGTTTGGCTTTGGGGTGTTAAAAACCTCTTTTGAGATAAATCCTAAGGGTTCTCCCCAGGAAAAACAAAAATAAAACAAAAAACGTGTATGTATACACCTAAGCACACAACTTCAGGGAGGTCATTCATTCAATGAATACCCGTTTTTCTGGGTGCTGGTGATAGAGCGAAGGGCAAGATCGACAAGGTCCCCATGTCCCGGAGCTTTCACTGTGGTGTACGGGGACAAATCACCTCCACGTAAATCAAGAAGGCCTGTCAGGTAGTGATAAGTGACGAGGCGGTGTGCCAGGGTCACACGATGGATGGACCGAGTTGGAGGAGGACAAGAATGGCTGTGTGAAACCCATCTATCTGGGGGAGGGCCGGTCTGTGGAGTGAAACCTTCCCCAGCAATCAGCTCTGGAAGCCTAACGTAGAAATGAGCTTTGCATTTTCAAAAGACAGAGCAGCTTATATGGCAGGGAGAGAGTGACCGGAGGGGCCTCGGGGCCAGATCATGCAAGGCCTTGTAGGTCACAGCAAGGGGGCTGCTTCCACCCCATCCACCGCCCAAGCTGGTTTTTAGACCTTAAAGGAGCCATGGGCTCCATTTTAAGAACTGCAGATTGAAAACTAATTTAGGAACGAGAGCAGAAAATGTCATTTGTGGGGGCGCCTGGGTGGCTCAGTGGGTTAAAGCCTCTGCCTTTGGCTCAAGTCATGATCCCAGGGTCCTGGGATTGAGCCCCGCATCCGGCTCTCTGCTCAGCAGGGAGCCTGCTTCTCTCTCTCTCTCTGCTTACTTGTGATCTTTCTGTCAAATAAATAAATAAAATCTTAAAAAGAAAATGTCATTGGGGCAATAGAGGCTCAGAGAATACACCTGGAAATCCAGATGAAGGAGGTGAGCCTGCTCAGGACAGAGAAGGTCCTTCTCCAGACCCCCAGTATCTGCAAGGTCTGGAGTGTGCCTCCAGGGACAAATGCTCGCAAGTTATTGTAAGTTTAAATTCCAACTGAGAGCAAAACATTCATTTGCATCCTACCTCTGCCCGCTACAGAAAGCTAGGACATCCCAGGCCTGCCTGGGATGTGCTCAGATGGCTTGACATCTCTTTTCTTTGCTTCTCCACCTTCCAGTAGCCAATAATGGCTTGGTGTGAATACCAGCCTTAGCTTGCTAAGTTGTTGTGATGGTTTGGTTGAGGATCTCTTCCATGTTTCACCCTGCTGTGGGGGCAAGGGTGGGGGCGCTTGGACACGGGGTGGCAATCCCTGTTTCCCTTAAATGCCTCTTAAGTGGCAATTGTCTTCTAGCTCTCCTGTAGTGAGGGCTGGCTTGAGACCGGCACAGACTGTAAAATGGCTGCCTGATCAGGATTAAGAAGATTTAATCAATGCTTTAGTTTTCCCAGAGACTCTCTTAGGCGCCTAGCTTATAAGGAAGGAAAAAAGCACGGGCAACCTGCTTTTGGAAATGACTTCTCGTTCATCTTTTCCTTGAAGGGAAACAGGAAATGAGGAATTTAAAATCTCAATTCGGGCGCACCTCGGTGTTCATTTGGCTAAGCGTCTGCCTTCAGCTCAGGCCATGATCACAGGGTCCTGGGTTCAAGTCCTGCATGGGGCTCCTTGCTCAGCGGGGAGCCTGCTTCTCCCTCTGCTTGTGCTCTTTCTGTCTCTCTCTCTCTCTCTCAAATGAATAAATAAAACAATATCTTTTTTTTTTTTTTAAAAAGTAGTTCTGGACTGTAGAGGCTGTAGTATCTTTAGCTATAATGAAGATATTGAATTAAATGAGCTTCTAAATCTGGGCCAGCTGTATAAAAGATTGTCCTCTGAAAACAACACATACATACTCACATCCCACTCCCAAATAAAACCTTTTACGAAAAAAATAATACTGTAAGTATATTTTTGCTTTACCATTTTATCCCTAGTTTTGTACAAAATTATTTTGTAAGTTGAATGCTTGTCCCTCATCTTGTGAGGTGACGGCACGCTAGGGGGAGGGAGGAGGGGGAGGTTCTGCTCTGAAATCTCGTCATCAGCCAAGTCTGACAGGGCATCCTGACAGGGACCTCTATTCTAGAAACAATGGTGCGGGTGTGTGTGTGTGTGTGTGAATCTTATGAAAGAGACACCAGCCCCAAACACTAGAAAAAGCAGCAACCTATTGTCTGTCTCTCCTCACAGAAAGTAAATCCTTGCGGCCAGGGAATTTTTTTTATTCACAGCTATATCTCTTATGCCTGGAACAGCGCTCAGGAAATATTTGTTGACTAGATGGGAGCTGGGTATTGGCCCTTCAACTTTGGTGATTTCTAGCAGCACTCTTCTTTCCATGGGAAAGATTCCCAGAAGCAGGGAGAAGGGCGGTAACAAGAGCCTCTAGCTTTCTTCTGTCTCTACCCAGGAGCAGGTTTTGAGACTGAATTTCAAATGTCCCAGAGGGTTAAAAAAAAAAAAAGATGGTTCCATTCTTTCCAACTCATCTATGTCCTCCTTTCCACATTTGCTGGGGTCTAGATATGGTCATGGCTCATGTGTTCCAAACCATATCTGCCTCAGGACAGACACGACTTCTGGAAATTCTATCATGGGTGATTTGTAAACTTAAGCGTCCTTGATTTATTTAGTCTATAAATCCACATGTTTACTAATCGGATTTGTTTCAACGAACATACTGTGTCCTAAGGATATGGATCTCTCATCTTCAGCAGATTCCTCTACTTAGAACCTCTTTGCTCCTAAGTGGAAAGAATATGAAAATGGAGCCAAAAAAACAGTTTTAAATGATTTAAAGTTCTCATAGTTCTTTCCACAATTCCCTGCTAGGGCAATATACCACAGCTAAAAAGACTTTACCGATGGTGGACTGTTTGGGATATCATTTGTGTATTAATAAAAAAAAGAAAAAGACCTCGAGTTTGGGTCTCTTTGGAAAATCAGATGCAAATAAGCCCCTGGATCCCAGGGGCTGTTAGGAAAGCAGAGGAAGGAACGGTGGGCACCTTCCCATTGGCCGGGGGGGCACTCACCCAGATGTCTGGCTTCCACATAAAAGACAGGAACCACTGCAGTCAGCTTCCACTTCTAGTTAAAGGACGACAGCAAAAACAGCCAAAAAAGGAAGATGGCCAGGCTATTATTATTTTCCCTCCCAGGTCTTGTGGCCATATGTGCCGTGCATGGAATATTTATGGACAGACTTGCTTCCAAGAAACTGTGTGCAGATGACGAGTGCGTGTGTAAGGACCTTTTTTATGCCTTTTATTATCTTTCTATTATAGAATTGAAAAAAAATCCACTAATAGCTGAACATCTAATTGGCTTTAAGTGAATCTTCTCTAATGTGTATGTCGCTAGCTCTGTTTCTCATGGTCTGTACCTTTGGTGTCTTACTATGGAGAATTCACTTAGTTAAGATTCTCAGCTTTCAGACCTTGGCTATATTACTCTTCTTGAACTGAATGGGAACTATAAACTGGGAATTACTGATCTCTCTGATTTCCTAGTTTTCTGATATGCCTAGCCTTTTTACTGTTAGAAAATCGAGGAGACTGGGGTCACCTGGGTGGTTCAGTTGGTTAAGCATCCGACTCTTAATTTTGCCTCAGGTCATGATCTCAGGGTCATGGGATTAAGCCCCGAGTCAGGCTCTATGCTCCGCAGGGAATCTGCTTCTCTCTCTCTCTCTCCCTTTTCCACAATTCCCCCTCCCCATGAGTTTTCTCTCTCTCTCTCTCTCTCTCTCTCTCTTTCAAATACACAAATAAATCTGGAAGAAAGGAAGAAATGAAGGAAGGAAGGAACAAACGAACGAACAAAATCCAGGAGACTAAAATGTAGTCATTTCAATGTTTCTTTTCTTCCAGACACTATTTCTCTGTCCCGAGCTCGAGAAGATTACAATGCCCCAGACTGCAGGTTCATTAATGTTAAAAAAGGACAGCAGATTTACATTTACTCAAAGCTGGTGCAAGAAAATGGAGCTGGAGAATTCTGGGCTGGCAGTGTAAGATGAGATCCTTTCAAATATACACACATCTGGGGCGCCTGGGTGGCTCAGTGGTTAAGCCGCTGCCTTCGGCTCAGGTCATGATCCCAGGTCCTGGGTTCGAGCCCCGCATCGGGCTTTCTGCTCAGCAGGGAGCCTGCTTCCTCCTCTCTCTCTGCCTGCCTCTCTGCCTACTTGGATTTCTCTCTGTCAAATAAATAAATAAAATCTTAAAAAAAAAAATAAAAATGCTTTAAAAAAAATATACACACATCTGAACATAGGTTGCTCTTAATGTTTTCTCTCTGATCTACCTTCAATATATTTCAGTGTTTGGAATAAGCTCTTAAGAACAATGGAGAGGTTTAGATGCAAGTGTCGAAATTCACACACATTTGCTTTTGTTACATTTTGAAGAAAAAAAGAAAATTTCATAACAAAACCAAATATAGGTTTGTGTGATGTGTTGTCAAGACCTAGTCAACCATGTGGGGGCTTGAACACCCCAAAGAGCTTGAAACTTACTCAAAAATGTTTGCACGGATTTGCCAAGGAAAAGGCATGCGTGTTGGCAGTCAGGCTCCACTTCAACATTTTAAAGGAAACTAACACTCTCCTCAGTTCCAGAGAATCTGCTTTCTTCAGTGAAAACCGGCAGGGGGTGGACCCTAGGGAGGGATGAAGCCGAGCTGGTTTCCTGTTCTCATCTGCAGCCCCACAGACAGACTCTCAAGGAATGAATGATTAAATCTTAAATTCACTCAAGTATCTGTGCATTCAAATTTTTAACTGAGAAAGACCTGTTCTTTAAAATAAAAGTATCTATTTTGTTCTTAAGAAATGTACTGACTGAGAAACAAACTGAGGGTTTTGAAGGGGCCGGGGCGGGGGTGGTTGGGTGAGCCTGGTGGTGGGTATTATGGAGCGTACGTATCGCACGGAGCACTGGGTGTGGTGCATAAACAATGAATTTTGGAACACTGAAAAGAAATTAAATAAAATTTAAAAAAGGAAAAAAGAAAAAAATAAAAGTACTGACTTTGTTTATGGGTTCCAAAAAGATTTCGGGCAGCTCACAAGATTGCATAAAATAAAGGAATGCTCAGTGAGACCAGGAAGACGGGGCCACAGAGGAACAGAGATACACTTTCTGTGGCTTGACTCAGTGGCTGTGAATGAGCTTCAAATTTCAAAGTTGGATCTGAGGCCCCTGGAACCCAGAATGAAAAAGCGGGACATTGCAATTCTGTAATTCTCATTCACAGCAAATGCGAGCCCAGAGGGTTTCTAGAAGTGGACCTCCATCCGCAATCCCCTGACTGTTACTCTTCTGGGCACTCAGGTTTATGGAGATGACCATGAGGACGAGATGGGCACCCTGGGCTATTTTCCCAGCAGCGTGGTCGAGGAGCAACACGTGTACCAAGAAGCCACCAAGGAAGTCCCCACCACGGTAAGTGTTTCTGAGGCCAGAGATGGACTCAGATCCTAGGCTAATGCAGGCAAGTGTTAAAAATGAATCATGTCGGGCGCCTGCGTGGCTCAGTGGGTTAAGCCTCTGCCTTCGGCTCAGATCGTGATCTCAGGGTCCTGGGATCGAGCCCCTCGTAGGGCTCTCTGCTAGCCAGGGAGCCTGCTTCCCTCTCTCTCAGTGCCTGCCTTTCTGCCTATTTGTGATCTCTCTCTCTCTCTCTGTCAAATAAGTAAATAAAATTTAAAAAAAAAAGCTTTAAAAAAATGCATAACGTCTCTTACAAGACTCACTGAACAACCCCCCTACTTGCCGTGGAGGCTTCCCCGAGGACAGGGAGGTTTGGGCGAACATTTACACCTATTCCCACTGTTGAAAGGTTATTGAACCCACCCCCTTTGTTTTTAGATACAAGTTATCCTAGGAAGGAGTCCATGTCATAAAAAAAGAAAGGAATATAGTATTCACGGACTCTTAACTGAGGGTTATATTTATTTACTAAAGCACCTGGGCTGGGAAAAATTCAGCACCTGTATTTAATCGAATCAAAACATTCTGGAAAAAAAAATCTTTGGATGCCTTATTTCTGTGATAGATAGATTCTACTTATGTTTGAAAAAGGAATTATATTCTTTCCAATGCCCTGGGGTCTTGCAAACCCCAGAAGAGACATAAAAGATCCCCTTTGAGCTACTTGGCAAGGTGGTTGTTCTGAAGACATTCTCCTGGAGCTAATTGCTGCATGAAATAACTTCAAAACATTGCCCAACCCACACAAACGGGACTCACTTGTCATCCCTTCTGAGCATGGAGCTTGAATGTGTCAAATAACCACCAATTAAAAGTGTATTTGAGAACCTTCATTTTAAGTAGTTTTTGACTTGAGGTGATAATTATGTCATATTCTTTGGGGTTCAACCTTATTTTAAATCCAGATTTCCCTTTGATGACCTATGATTTTTTAAATAAAGAAAATGCATTTGTTTTCTGTCTACTCAGTTCAACCTTTTTCTTTTCTTTTTCTTTTTTCTTTTTCTTTTTTTTTTTTTGCCTTTTTTCCCCAGGATATTGACTTCTTCTGTGAGTAAGAAATTAGACCTGCAAATAAAAAGGAAACACCAAACAATATAAACAGTGAAATAACAACAACAACAAAAAATATGTGTCCCTAATTTCTGACTTTTGTTTCAAGGCTTTATTTATTACAGGAGGGCTGGGTCTTGGGGGCCAGTGGTGGTAGATGAAGGAGTAAATTCTGTTCAGTTCTCTGCTGGCCTGGTCTTCCCACCACCTGGAGGTCAGGGCGATGTTTGGCTCAAGGGGGAGAATTGAAAGCAGAAATTCTTTTTCAGCCTAGAGAATCCTCTCTTACACAGGAATGCATACAGAAGACGGTTCATTTGTATTACTTCTTCACTGTAATTCTTGCCAGTTCTTTGGCTCCTTATACAAACTTGGTAGGTGACAGGTCTTACTTTGGACATGCTGTTTTCTAATTATTTGTCTTACTGGCCATTGGGAGTGTTATAATGTACCCAAAGGGGCTATATCCTCAAGGAATATGCCAGGATTGTTGTTACTTTTAATATTTGATGCCTTTGAGATGTGAAACTGGTGCGAATGGACGAGTTGTTTGGACTCATAGATATTGGACTCTGCCTCTTTCTCTTTACTTTTAAGTAAGTATGTGTGTCTGTAATAAGGGAGGAGCAGCTTATGAAATATTTGTAATGGGATAGTTTCCCCTTTGTGAGTGCTGTTACTGCAAACATTCGAGCTTCCAATCAAGAGACAGGGGGAAAAAGTCTGTGGGTTATTTTTCTACTTCTCTTTCAACTTCGAATTTCCTCTTCCTGTGCAATGTCCCCGAGTCAAGGATGATGTGGGAAGAAATCTGGTGAGGGGGATTGGTGGTCCCAATGGACATACAAGTTTCTCTACATTTAATTGGAAATTTACTTTGATTGTTCATTCCTAGTATAATTCTTTTGATGTAGTCATGAGTCTGTTTACATGTAATTAAAATGCCTGTACTCAAAAAAACTGACAATTTCTGACTTAAAAATTGTTTTAAAGCATTTTTCACCTGGGGGCGTCAAAAGTTAGAAGGAGCTTGGAAATGAGGTTGGTTCCTCAGTTTTCTGTGATCTGTTCATCCCACCAGGATGAGGAGGAGAGCATTTAGGACAAGATGGAGACTGGCACTCCAGGGTCATTTTTTTATCTGTGTCCACTATGATTTGGGGTGAATATATTTTTGCCAAATTCTAATGAGGTTCCATTATGTGCAATGGTACCCCAAAAAAGCCCCCCAAACCCAAACCCATCAGTCCACTGCCTCTGTCTTACTGCATGCCATAAAATGTTTCAGGCAGCAACTAGGAAGGTCGACACAATTTAAGATAAGAAGCATTTATCCTCTGTTTCTATCTGCCTCTCACTTTCTGGTTCCCCCATTTCAGGTACCCCATTATCCCTCAAGACACCCAGCATCCCTATGATAACCTTTGTCTGCCAAAGTCCCCATCTGTCTGGCCTCGTGCTTCCAGCTTTCCCCCCAAGAGCAGGGCTTTGGGCTTACAGTCCCTCCTGGCCACACCGGCCTCCCCTTCACCAGAACCAATTTCACCCAGGACTTTTGGGGTCCCTGATTGGTTTCCATCTTCTGGGGGCTGAGCTGCATCACCAGAATGGAAGTACATGTAGGGACTTTAAAACACCAGCTAGCCCCTCAGATGGCAAAGGGCCATCCCTGGCCCAGCAGCTACATGGGCCTCTCTTGGGCGCTGGTTAAGAAGGCAGAACCCACTGAAGACTTTCTGAATCACAATCTGCATTTTTTCACAAGACCCCCAAATTCGAGATTCATGGATGCATGGGAGGGAAAGAGAAACCACCTTCTACCCTCCTTGCGTCTCTGGCTGGGCCTAGGAATTAAACTGACATAGACAGATTACCAGGAGGAAAGCATGTGTGTTTAATTTCATGTTTTTACGTGGAGATCGGAACTTTCAAAGGGAAAATGAAGACCCAAAGAAGCCGTTAGAGTCACGTACTTATATACCTTTTTCAACAACGAACAACAAATTGTGGGACGTGACAAGACAAAGTGGCTTGGGCACAGGGCAGTAAATCGTGGGACATTGACTAGGAAACATACAAGGAGAGAAGTGGAAGATAAGGGTGATGGCAGAGGGATCGTTTGCGTGGGTGCCTTCCAGAGCTGACTCTCAGGGCCTAGGGATAAGAACGTCCCCTTCCCTGCGCACCAGGGGCACCTTCTTTGTGGGAAATTTTATGGCCTGTTTTTAGGTGGAAAGGGGGTAGATCAGAGCCCCTCCTGTGTCTGCACTTTTCTCTCCCACCTTCAGCTCAAAATTATCAATACACCAGAGGGCATCTTCTACGGTACCGTGTTCTGAATCCCTTGGACATTAAAGGTTATAAGCAACACTCATTTTAGTTCTCTACTCTCCTCCGACACATAAAGAAATAAATGAAAAAAACAAGAGCACCTGGGAGTTGAAGCAGCTCTCCCAAGATTGAACAGGCAGGATTTCCACATTCCTAAACCAGGACCCCCACATCCACCCCACGTTGTAGGCACTGGCTTAGTGTCTACAGACCTCTACCTTCGAGAAAGGGGGGCCAAGGGGTGGAGAAGTGAGAGTCTGGAGGACAATGAGGCCTCTTGGGGAATCTTCCTTCCTTCCCACTACGACCAAGGGTATCTTCTGCCTCTAAGAGGTTCTCAGTTATGGACGTTGTTGCTTTGCAACCTCAGGAGCTCCTGAGAAATCTGGAACCGGGCCCTGGGAGGGCATGGGGAGACTGGGAAAGAGGTAGACCACTCCAGATGGGTAGGGGGCCATTTCCCGAAGGAGGGGACTTACAGGCTTGTTGTGGGCGGCAGCAAGATGAGTGGGGGACCTCTACCGCTCTTTGTGTCCAGCTCGAGGGTCAACTGGTGGTCACATCCTCTCCGTGACCTCCCCCAACAGACATGAAAGAAAACAAAAAAACCCAAACAACTAGGTCTAGGGATCCCTGAGGGAACTTCAGCTTGTAGGTTTCCTCTATACTCCCAAGCTGAGGCTAGGTGTGTGTATCTGTGTAGTGTTTCATTTTTCCATATAGTTGTACTATTTCCTCTGGGGAGAAAACCAAGGCTTTCATCATCCCTTATGTATCTATAATGGAATATTCCTCAGCCATATAGGAGAATGAAATCTTGACATTTGCAACCACACAGATTAGGCTAAGTGAAATAAGTCAGTCAGAGAAAGACAAACACCTTATGATTTCATGTATTTGGAATTTACAAGACAAGAAACAAAGAAAGAAAGAAGAAAAGAGACAGACTCTTTTTTTTTTTTTTTAACTCTTTATTCAAAAAACAGACTCTTAACTCTAGGGGACAAACCAACGGTTGCCGGCGGGGAAGCAGGTGGAGGGCTGGGCGGAAATAGGTGAAGGGGATCAAAACTACATTTACCGTGATGGGCATTGAGTTTGTCTGGAATTGTTGAATCACTATACTGTGCCCCTGAAACTATAATAATAATAATAATAAAAGAATTTCCACACCCCTGACCTCACAGAACATGGGAAACAATACAGCCAGTGGATTCAGGAGCCAATTTAGGGCAAATGGTGAGACTTGGCCTCAAGCAGAGCTATTCAAAGGGGTTACCAGGGCTAGACGAGAAAAGCACTGAAACTCATCCGAGGTGAGAACAGTCAGGGCAGGGAAGACCCGGCAGGCAATAAAATGAAATGAAATCTTGTTTAAGAGAACTGTGTAATTGGTGGCTCAGAGAAGTCGGGTGAGCCCAGAGCCCAGGGCAGCAGGGAACAAGGCAGGCTGTCCATTTCTTTCAGAGCTGTTGTTCCCTATGTGTGCATGCTTGAATAAAGTTCTGACCTTGCTGTACCTCCTTTTTCTTGGCTATTGAGGGGGTTCACATCATCTTCCTTGCTGGGTTATTGCAAGGCTTAAATGTCATATGGGGTGTGAAATAGAAGACGGGGGCCCCTGAGAGTGGGACCCCTAAGTGACAGCCAGTATTATCTGACCCGAGAGGGTCGAAGGGAGAGTGACCTTCCCTCAAGGAGCTGTGTAGTAATCTACCAGAGGCTTTGTGGATAAGAAATTGTAATTTCCCATTCAGACCATCTGGGATTTCTAAGCCGAAGATAGTTCCAGATTGCATGCGTTTTTTTTTTTTGTTTTGTTTTGTTTTTTGTGGTTTCATTTATCAAAACAAAAACAAAAAAACCCCGAAAACACCTGAAATTACCTGAAAGAGTCCCAAGTCGTTCCACTGGCAATCTGGTGACAAGGTGTGGCGTGTGTGAGTGTAATTTTGAAGTCCCAGTTCTGGCCACATCCCTTCATTAACAGCTCTTCATTCTTAATGGGAGGGTCATTTACATCCCACTGAGGGCCCCCACACCTTTGTTTTTTTTTTTTAAGATTTTATTTATTTATTTGACAGAGCGATCACAAGTAGGCAGAGAGGCAGGCAGAGAGAGAGGCAGAGAGAGAGTAGGAAGCAGTCTCCCTGCTGAGCAGAGAGCCCGATGCGGGGCTCGATCCCAGGACCCTGGGATCATGACGTGAGCCGAAGGCAGAGGCTTTAACCCACTGAGCCACCCAGGCGCCCCAACTTTTTAAGAATCATTATATTAGTTTCTCTATATATTTGTTTATCTCTGAGACGTACAGCCCGATGGACATTAGCACAGAAATTAATTGTATTCAGGCTCGGCAAAGTTGGGTCGTCTCATTTGCGTCTAACCATCCCAGCAAGGGTGTAAATAACAACATCTCTCGGGAAAGCAGCCTCATAAGCGGCATGTCCCACCTCAGATTTCCACAGCTTGATGGCACTCGTTCCAACTGCGAGGGTAAGTATGGTTCCTGGCTCTCCTGATGCTGGAAGTTCACATCTCTGGCCAGGCCTTTTAACCCTCCCTCGGAAGAGAGCCTTGTACAAGACCCGAAGCACATGGTGTGAGGAAGAGAGAAGAGCTCCACGGACCACACCAGGCACCCACCCGAGACTCTATTCCTTCTCTAAAAAGT